ACTTATCATCCCTAATCATCAGAGAATGCCAATCAAAATGACCTTGAGATACTACCTAACACCAGTGAGAACAGCCCACATCACAAAGTCCCAAAGCTGCAGATGCTGGCATGAATGTGGAGAGAAAGGAACACTTTTACCCTGTTGGTGGGATTGAAAACTAACATAGACTCTTTGGAAAGAAGTATGGAGAATCCTCAAAGAGCTATAAGTAGACCTTCCATTTGATCCTACAATCCCATTAGTAAGTATCTGCCCATAAGAACAAAAAGAATTTTACAATGAAGACATTTGCATTAGATTATTCGTGGCAGCACAATTCATAATCGCCAAGATGTGGAATCAACCTAAATGCCCAAAAGCACATGAATAGATTAATAAATTGTGGCACATGTATACCAAGGAATACTATTCAGCCATAAAAAGATGGAGACTTTACATCTTTTGTACTAACTCTAACTCGGATGGAGTTGAAGAACATTTTCCTCAGTAAAGTATCACAAGGATGGAAAAGCAAGTATCCAGTGTACTCGATACTCATATGAAAACAAGAGAAGAAAAACGGCACACTCACCTGAAAGAGAAACACAATTAAATTCAAGTGGGGTGAGTGAGGGAGAAGGGAGAGGTGAGGAAGGAGAATTGGCAAACTCCCACCTAACTGGTACAATGTAAGGGTATATAGCACACTTCCCGGGCTTACAGCTCACCTGCAACTTGGACTTTGCCTGACAAATACAAACAATGAAACCTAATTGTTTGTGCCCTCATAGTCATCTGAAATTTAAAAAAAGAAAAAAATAACTGGATATAAATAAAAATGAAAACTCAATATACCAAAACTTATGGGACACAGAAAAAAATAGCTCTAAGGGGGAAATGTAAAACTATAGGCTCTTACATCAAAAAAGAAGTGGACCAGCATGGTGGCTCATGCCTTTAATCCCAGCATTTTGGGAGGTCAAGGTGGTAGGACCGTTTGAGGCCAGGAGTTTGAGACCAGCCTGAGCAACGTAGCGAGACCCCATCTCTATAAAAAATAAAATAAAAATTAGCTAGCCATGGTGGTGCATGATTTTAGTTCCAGCTACTCATGAGGATGCTGCTGAACTTCAGCCTGAGTGAGAGTGAGACTTTGTCTCTGTTTAAAAAAGAAAGAAAGAAGGAAGGACTTCAAATTAATAACTATTTTAGAACTTAAGGAACTGAAAAAGAAAAGAACTGAGTCCAAAAGTAACAGAAGGAAAAAAATCATCAAGATTAAAGCAGAGAGAAATGAAACAGAGAATAGAAAAACAGTAGAGAAAAATCAACAAAACCAAAAGATGGTTCTTCGAAAAGACTAACAAAACTGAAATTGATAAATCTTTAGCTAGATCGACTAAGAGAAAAAACAAAGACAAATTACTAAAATCAAAAATGAAAGGGGGGGGCATTATAACCAAAGCTATGGAAATAAAAAGCATTATGAAGGTACGGAAAACAACTGTCCAGCAACAAACTCGATAAACTAAATTAAATAGACAAATTCCCAGAAATATCAAACCTACCAAGATTAATCATGAGGAAAAAGAAATCCTATAGACCTATTACTAGTAAGGGGATTTAATCAATAATCAAAGAAAACATAAGAAAAGTCCTGGACTTGGTATCTATTTGTATATGGTGTTAGGTATGGTATGGTATGTGGTGTTATGGTGTTAGGGACGGTATAAGTTGATTTTTTCTTTATATGGCTACCTTGTTTTCCCAGCATCATTATAGAAAAATACTGTCCTTTCTCCGCAGAGTGGTCTGGGTACCCTTGCTGAGAATCACTTGACCATATATGTGAGAGTCTTATTTCTGGGTGTTCCTAGATATAAAAGTCCTATTTCATTTGTCTGTATGTCTGTCCTCAGGCCAGTACCATACTTTTTGATTACTGTAGCTTTAGAAATAGTAGTAGGTTTTAAAATTAGGAAGTGTAAGTCTACCATCTTTTTTCTTCTTTTCTAAGATTGGTATGACTGTTGTGGGGTATTTGATATCCCATATAAATGTTATGATGGTTTTTTGTATTTCTTCAAAAGACGTCATTGAGATGTGAATGTATTTTATTCCACTGAACTCATTGAACTTTATACTTAAAACAATTGACAGTAAATTTTTTGTTAGTAAAGTGTCATAAGAATGGAAAAGCAAGTATCTAATGTAGTGTACCACAATAAAAGTGTTATTGAGGGAAAAAAAATTGATATCCATGTCCTATCCCTGGAATCAATAAATGCTATTGCTCTGGTCTGAACATTTGTGTCCCCCCAAAATTCATGCATTGAAATTTTAACCCCAAGGTCACAGTGTTAGAAGGTAGACTCTTTTGAGAGGTGATTGGGTCATGAGGGATTAATGCCCTTTTAAAAGGAGACCCTAGAGACTTAGCTAGCCCTTTCCACCATGTGAGGACATAGTGAAAAATAAAAAGGTGCCAACCATGACTCAGGAAACGGACCCTCACCAGGCAGGGAATCTGTTAGCACCTGGATCTTGGACTTCCCAGCCTCCAGAACTGGGAGAAATAAATTCTATTGTGTATAAGCCACCCAGGCAATGGTAGTTTTATAGCCGCCTGAAGGAACTAAGATATATGTTGCTATCTTCTATGGCACATGAAAAAGCCTCGAAGATACTAAAAATATTGATGGGGAGGAAATTATCCTGGATAATCCAGCTGGGCCCTAAATGCAATTACAAATACGCTTATCAGAGGGAAGAAGAGGGAGAGTTGAACATGAAGAAAATGAGGTCATGATGATACCATACAGGCAGATATTAGGGTGATGCAGCCACAGCAAAGAAATGCTGGCAGCCACCAGAGCTGGAAGAGGCAAAGGAGGGATGTTTCCCTGGAATCTCCAGAGACACGGCTATAGAGAAGACACTTTGATTTCTGGCTTAGTGAAACTGATTTTGCACTTCTGACCTCCATAACTATAAGAGAATTAAATTTCTTTAGTTTTAAATAACCAAGTTTTCAGGAATTGTTACTGCAGCTACAGGACAGTAATACAGTGACATTCATAGTATTGCAGTGGGGAAAATTAAGATAAGAACGTGTTTCTGTGTGGGGTAAAAATCAAACTTTTCGTTTAGACTTTCCATTTTGAACTTATTATTCCTAATGTGCCAAGGAGACATCTGATAATTTACATTGAATAAACATGTAAAACAATAGAGCTAAATGCGATTCTCTAAGGCAGTGGTTCTCAACCTTCCTAAGGCCTCCACCCTTTAACACAGTTCCTGTAGGTTGCGACCCACAGGTGGAGAAATGCTTCTCTAAGGAGAGGGTACGGCAGAGAGAGGGGAGGGCCCAGAACTGGTCCGTATAGTATGAAAATATTTGAAGAAGCTGAGGATCCAACAGACCAGAGGTGAGAGGCCTCCAGTGAGGGAGAAGAGCTCACAGTCTTAAAAGCCAAAGGATGAAGGTAATTAACAGAGGTCGACACTTTTAGAAGTTGTTTAAAGGTCAAATGACATTGTATTTGCCAACGTGGAGGGTATATGTTAACTGTGAAAAAGGAAGTTACTCTGTCCAGGGAGACAAAGTAAGACAGAGTTGGGTACACTGGCATGTGGGGAATTAGAACGAGCAGAGAAACATCCCTCTGAACAGGTAAAACTGAATAGTTCATTATGCTACACGCCATGTGACGAAAACTCATAGTAGAATCTAAAACTTTATAAAACTGTGAAAATGCCATTTGCAACATCCATATTCCGTTCTATCTTGGACAAAAGGAAACATACTCAAGTGTAGTAGCCGATTATCTGCTACTGAAATTGTCTAGATGGAGCCTAGTGCCTCCAAAATGCGGGTATTAGGAATTTAGGCTGATTTACTTGCACTGAAAATGTATTTAAAAGCCATAGTAAGTAAAAGTGGACAAAATTTATATAATGGTAAGAACAAACTAATGTGTGTGTTACGTGATAAGGAATTTATTTTATTGTCCCTATCTTCAAAATTTCCTACAACCCAAGCAAATGCTAATGTAAAAAAAAAATCAATCTGAGTGCAGACTACATATTTTTGATATTGCAGAGTAGAAACAATCTCCCAAGATGTGTTGTTTTCCATGCACGAGGGATTTCCCTATTGGGACATTACTGCTCGTTTGAGAAAGCATAATGAGGACATTATTTTTGTTAAGAAAATAGAAGGCTTGAGAGCTTTTAAAAGATAATATAAACACAATGTTATAATTCTGGAAAATTATTTAGTCTTCTGCATGACCTAATCATATTAGATCTCTCTATCTGTGGATGCCATGACCATCAAAGTTCATTTCACATGACTTAAGTAGATTGAAACTTCACACATAAACAAGTGGATTTTGACAACTGTTTCTTTTTATATTTAAAAATTATTAATTCTCCTAATTTAAGTATTCAAATAACTATGTGGTCCTTTACACACTTAAAAATTTAAAAATACTTTCTTTAATATATCAGTTTTCATAAACTAGAGCAAGAGAAAATCCTTTTCTACTTAAAGTTCAAGTCCTTTTAACATGTAGAAAAATATTTTTGATTTTCTAATTCTAAAATAATTGTTATGGATATATACATATACGCACATACATACATGCAATTAATATGTATATGTGTATATGAATGATGTATATATATGAAATAAATACATCTATGAAATATGTTATATGTGGATATAAACATAATATAAAACATACCCAAATCATTCAAAGAGGTTTTTTTTTTCTTTATCATGTGGAAGCAATTTATACCCTTCAAAAACATATAGACAACAGATTACTTTTGCTCCTGGGAAGGCCCTTGGAGAGAAGGAAAGAAATTCCTACTTGATACGACAAGAGGTGCTTCCTAGGAATTTCAAACATGAAACTAGGAACAGATTAACTTCCTCGTCACCATAGAATTCTCAGGGTAGGGAGCTGGGCTCGTACTTGGGTCTTCTCTGTGTCTGTAACGCGGGTTACCTAAATAGCTATGTGCCGGCTTTTCCTCCACAACCTTGATTCTTCTCGCTCCAGCAGGTATCACCAGCACTTCCACGTAACCTGCAAGAGCAAGGGAAGCATGAAATGAATCTTGAGGTCTGAGAAAAGCTCTTTTCTTCATAGATTTGCTTTTCTTTTTCTGTTGGTTTTTGTTATTGCTGTGATACTTTGATGCCTAGGTAAAAAAAAAAAAAAAAAGAAACTTTTTACATATAAAAACTGTCATAATTTCAAGTGAAAAAATGTCTTGGAAAGATGTTGAGCCTATAGCACTATTAAGAACAAATAGGCAATTGTATTTTATGTACAAAAAAGCTTGCTGTGGCTGATACCTTATGAATTTTGAAGAGGAAACTGCCCCGTGGAACAGCCTGGTTAGAGACACAGTGTTTCTTGGAACAGGGAAAACAACCTCTGATTCTGCTCTGGGAACTCCTTTAAGTGAGACAGTGTGGAGCAAAAGCACTCAGAGCTGCAGAGAACGCAGCTGGCCTGGACCAGGTCCCTGGAGGAGTGAAGTATAGGGCAGAGAGACTAAGCGTTCCTCAGAGCAGATGGACAAATGGTTTTGAAACTGGAGCTGGAAACAAGTATAAGCACACACCAAGCAATTAAGTGTCACCTCCGAGGTATTAGACAGTCAGAGGCAAGACAGAAATGCAAGGCGCTGCTCAGGAAAAGATTCTTCAGCAGAGGTTAGGGATGTAATGCTTACAGTGAAATAAAATAAGATGAAGTCGGATAAGAAGGAATGTGCAAAAAATGTCAGAATCAAGATTTCACTTAGGCCAGAATAGTGATAGATGCCTACTTTTGGCTCAATAGTTGTGTTTTAAAATTACATGAATACGATACTTAATATTCTTCTTAGTATTTCTGTGCAAATCCATATCTATGCAAAAGTATAATTTAAAAATTTTAAAAGGCATAAGAGCTCATTCTAGAATCATCCCTTCTTTATTTATTATTCAAATTCCTGAATTTTACAGGAATTATTTACAGTGTTTGGCAAATAACAAAAGGTAGCATATACCCCACCTGCTGGCTGTAGCTAGTATTAGACGCATATGTTTTTGAGATCATAAATTTCCATTCAAGAACCCTGCTGAAATAATCAACCATTGAATGGCATATTTTCAGTAACACCGAACCATTTACAGTAACACCAAACATAAAAGAATTATCACTCTGTTACATGGGCAAAATGGGTAACTAAGAAAATAGAAACAAATTCTTATTAGTTATCGGTCCACAGAGTAAGGTGAGATGGTCTCTGCTCTTAATGAGTTTATAGTTGAATTGAAAGGACGAGGCATAAATACTTTATATAAACAAGAGATAAGTAAAAATGAAAAAATTAAAAATTTTCATATTAAAAAGATAATATGCAAAATGTTTGAGTAATTCCCTGCCAAAGAATATAAAGTTGTTTAAGTTACCCCCTTTTCTGATCACATAATCACTCCAAGATCCACTGCTATTTTTACTTAGAGAGTTGGGATTATTTTCCTGTTAAATGATTACATATTTTCTCACATTAGAGAAACACAGGCATCAGCCAGCTTTGTTATGATTCAGAGAAGAGAACAATTCATATAAGTTTCTTTTAAAAAAGCTTCATAAAGAAGTAAAAAGGTGAACTTGCCTTTAGAGAATGCATAGGATTCAGATATATACAGGAAAAGGATGAGTTCCCTGTATGTAAAAAAGAGCCAAAGATACATGGCGCTTTTAGAGGTAGTTGAATAAAATGATTCTGATGAAATGAAATGGTGTAGGAAGGTGGTGCTATTAAAGAGAGTTAGAAGGAATACCCAGGAGAATGAGCTGATCCGTTGTTTGAAGCTACTGAACGTTCTCTAGCAAGGATCTTGGTAATCACACCTGGTTTGGAGAAGCTTTGTCTAACAGCGACATGCAGACACACAGTGATACCACAGAGCTGTGGATAACAATATGAGGAGGCTAAGGTTGAATTCCAGGAGTGGTAGCGGCTAAGGCAGAAAATGCAGAAGGCAATGTGAAAAAAAAAAGTTTCTGAATTTGGGAATTAATAGAATATGGGGAATAAACATCGGACGTCACGTTTCATTATTAACAATGTGAGAACGGGGCCACTGTGCACAGGGATGTGGAAGTCAAGAGCAGAATCATTTAGTTTTGGTACAAGTTGATAACTTTATCTTTGCAATTTGTATTTAACTAAATGATACGACGCATTAGTAAAAGTGTCTAGTAAGAGCTTTGGGACATCTGGAACGCTAGAGAAAGGTTGATGTACCTTTGAGAGGCATCCTTGAGAGAGATGGTGACAGTCACAGTTTTAAAAAAGAGATTAAAGAGAGTTTTAAAAAAGAGATTGAAAATAAATCAGGAAGTAAAGCAGGGAAGAAATAATCCTGAGGAGGAAATCTGGTCTGATTTGGGTAATTGGATCCTATGGATGGGAAGATCTCCTAAAGAGTTGCTGACCAACTCTGCCAAAAGCTGTACAGCAAAGCTGAGATACCAGAGAGAAAGGTGGCGAGGGAGAGTCCCCTGGATGCTACAGTCAGGAGGTGACTGTTAATCCCTCAGCAAACATATCTAGTAAAAAGTGTTAGGAGAAGATAGTAAGCGTCAGTTCGTCAAAAATGAAACCTACTTAGAACAAAGTAGAGGTAGTATGTGTAAAATCCTGTTTAATGGTACACTCATAGGTATGTTGTACATTAGAGAAATAGTTTTATCAAAGTTTATGGTTATAATTAGAACAATTTTCTGTTATTGATTAGGAATGGTTTAGAGGAAGGTGAGTTAGACAGATTTTAAAGAAGAAAGAGAAGCAAAAATATGTTAAGCAAAGACATATGAAGAGAGAAAACCCATGATGAGGATTAGATATTTTTCAGTAAATAAGCCATTTGGCACAATCAAGAATGTACATTTTTGAAGAAGTGGATAAAAGAGTAGCTATTGCCTGACCAAGAAGTTGGAACAAGAACCAGTGATGTCAATGTCATAAATTTGATCCTCATTTTGAACAGTTTTCTTTGCTTATGGGAACACTGTATTTTATATCCAGAGATCCCATTCTTAATCAGCCATCTTAAAATGCTAATAGCAATGATCATTTTCACGGTGGTAATAATGAAACAATAAGTGCCATCTTTTGAACAACCGCTATGAGTTAATCACTACTGTATTTACTTTGTGATTTATTACTTTGAACCATAACAATAATAGCCAAGGCCGATATTCCATTTCTCATTGAAATGAGGGAAGAGATGAGAAACTAGAGAGAATATACACTTTTCAACAGTAATTAGCTAATCCAGGCTTCGAGCTCAGATCTGTCCATTTCACTATTCACTTCCTGCCAAGACCTACAGCTACCATTTCCTGAAATAGAATAGAGTAGTTGACAAATTGCTACACACTGCTTCAAACAACCGACCAAACGAGAACTGGAGCGTACCCTCGGGAGGGTATCTTCATATTCTCAAACCAAGAATAACGCATGTATGCCTATTCCGTGTTCTTCTTAGTACATACTGATCATTATATAGTTCTGCAACTGGCCAGATACACAATTTATCTTAAAAAAGTATCATTTGGCTAAGCAAGTTAAAGTGAAAGACATGATAAACTACTAAGAAAAAAATACCCTTAAGTTTATTTTCTAGGTCCAACAAAAATGGTTCGGCAAACTCTACATAGAGCACAGGACTGAAAACACCCTCGTGTCTCTGCACAAGTGTTACACAACATATACAGTGCGCGTGGCCAATTGGACGAATGAGGCTGAAGGCCCTTCAAGACATTCTAGGAAGTCCATAAACTATAGGGATAAAATTGTCTCAAGAGAAATGGATACAACATTCCTAAGGTCACAGGGAGAAGGGGCTCATGATAGAACAGATTCATACTTTTTTAAAATTTAAAGTTCAGAACAATGTTTCCTTGTTCATTAAAGTTGCAAATATGAATGCGTCACACACTCTGCTGATAATTGTAAGCAAAAATTTGGTGTTAAACAAAAATATTGTGATATTCTTCTTCACTAAGCTTCAAGTCCAGAGGGAAAGGAAAGACAAATGAATGCCAAATTGTAAGTATAAGTAGAACTATGCTGAATTAGATAGGAATAGGCCATTACAAAAAAATCATTCAATACTCATTTAGTACCCTAGTCATTAATGAGAGGAAGCAAAGGTTGCTCAGAAATCTCTTCACTAAAGAAGCGACATTTGAAGCGAGATCTAAGGAGTGTCTAGGAATTCACACAGGCAAAGCCAAGAGGAAGGTGTTAGAACCATATTGGGAAATGCAAGGTGTTGGGGTGGTGGACAGAGGTGTAGAGGTGAGAGGGAGAGGGTGGCAAGGAGGGGAGACCATGGTTAGGTCAAGCACCTATAAGAATTTAGAGAAGGAAGGGGACCTTGGTGTGAGATGAGGCTACGGACAACCCTATACAGGACGTGAAGGTCTCTTCCTTGTGAGACCCTTTCAACAAAGGGTTATAAGGAAGAATGGGATGTTATTCATCTTTAATATTTCTAGAATCTTAGGCATCTCAGACATTTTCAAATAATAGATGCTGTGAATATAACCTACCTGTAGTGAGCAAATTACCAGAAGTAGAAATTAAAGTGGTTTAAAACCAACGGAGATTTGAAGTAGAAATCTAGGAAAAACATATTCACTTAACTGCAGTCAGAATGGAAAGTGACACTGTTTTTCTCATGATATTTCTGTACTCTAAGTGCAAACGTGAAGTGTTCTTACAAATCAATGCAGGCATCAGCGCTGAACATGCATCTGTATGCTTCACAGTGGGAACTGTTTCCATGCATATTAAATAATCAGGAAGCAATATTCTAGCATCTCTCACTTGGAGAAAAGATGCTAACTGTGAAAAAAAATTCTAGAAATTTAAAAATTTCTTTAGTAGTTCAGATTTTATTGGAGTTTTGCACTAAAAAACTTCCTCCATCATAATCAAGTGGTAAAGCTTATTATGATTACTTTTCTCAGTGGAAAGTCCTGGAACCTGTTTCAGATATTTTTTTTCTAAATGAGTGCTGGCAGATTTTTGACTTGTGGGGCCTACCACCTTTTTCAGTGCTTTGGTAATTGAAATTTCGATCTGCAATTTACCCTGGGTCTTAGTTATTTGAACTTTAGGCTCACTTTGTCTTATTATTATTATTATTTTTTTTTTTGCAGTTTTTGGCTGGGGCTGGGTTTGAACCCGCCACCTCCGGCATATGGGGCTGGTGCCCTACTCCTTTGAGCTACAGGTGCCGCCCGGCTCACTTATCTTTGTGTGCAGTTTGGGGCTAGCAAAAGGTCACATTCAATCTTTTGGAAGCTGTGTCCAGTTTTCCTTTCTGCAGGCCCTCTTTTCTATAGAGTGAACCAACTTTTCTTGATTATTGAAACATAAATGGCTTGTTTTTAGATTAAAACCAATACATACTTTAGTCTTAGTTTTTTTGGATGTTATTGCTGAATTTCAAATAAGTTAATGTAGGGAAATGTTGGTATGTGTAATATAAATGTATCAGTGACGAAAACAGAGTTATAAATATTAAGATAGTACAACAGATACGTGTTCAGGTAAGAGACTAATGTAAACACAGAAAATGTTTGCTGCTTCCCAGTGAGCTTCAAAGCCTGAATATAGGAGCGTATTTGTGAGTCATCATCACTTTTTTTTGGTACTCTAAAATTCACACTACATGGATCATTCGTGGTCATATTAACCTCATATCCCCTAAGTATTAGTATTTATAGATGAGAAAACAAAATAAGAAATGATGAACCTGCTATTAATATATTTGGAATATTATCTCACATTTTCTGGCTCCTCTCTCCTATGTTTCTTTTATGCTACATTGCTACAGACCCTTGGTTTCCAAAAATATACTCTCTGGATAGCAAAAACATTAAGAAAAAAACACAGAAAATGGAAAGCTGAAAATCGAAAGACTAATATTCTCAACGGCTGCTTCAGACTGTTACAAGTCATTAGTTTCTAGTAGAATTATGCTTTGCACTGGAGAATCAGGTCTGTAGAAACCTGATAACATTAGCAAATGCAAATTAGATTACTCCCTTTCTGCTCTCACTTATTAAATGTACACCAGATGATTTCATATTTTCATTATTGGGAAATGTGCTTGTTAGAATTTCTGGCTCACATCAACACATGTATTGTATGTCATTACAAAAAAAATCATTCAATACCCATTTGCAAAAGTTTTCCACAGAATCAGAACTGTGATCGAATTTGGTGTAATCTCTGTTATTAATCCCAAAGACGGTAGAAACTAATAATTATGAAAAATAAATACAAATCACCTGCTCCTCTGGTGTGATTAAAATCCCCCTTGATGATTTTGCATGACTTCCCATTGCCGTTGCACACACCACAATGATCTTCCCTCGCAAGGGACCCCAATAAACCGTCACAGCCAACTTTCTGTAATGAGAGAATGACAGCACATCATAAATTGAGGACTTTTTTTCATTTTTCCTACTACCAATTTAGGACAAACCCAGTCCCTATAAACCAGATCTATTTAATTGACAAACTTTTAAATTGCTATTTTCTGTGGTACAAACTAATATAGCAAGCTCATGTCAAATACTATAATCTCTAACATGACCATAGTAAAAGCATTGAATGACCTCCTAAAGTAATTTGGGAAATATTTTATGGAGAAAAATGGAATTTACTCAAATCCAAAAGGAAATCATATTTCTATTAACTATAACATGATTCATGAATTCACTCTACTCAACGCAGAACAGTTATCCTTCACTATACGCATGGCTTCACTTTTAAAAGTAAATATTATATATTAACTTAATGGAAAGCTGAATATAGATATTTGTTTTTACTCTGGTTCAAGAAAAAAAACTGCATTTTTTTCTATCCCCATCTTCTCTGGCACTCAGCATGTGAATGTCAGAACTCCTCACAGCCCTTGGCTGCTATAAAAGAATATGAACAGCTGGGGAATTAATTTTTATATGCTCCCAGAAGAATTTTCTTAATACAAATCTCCTAAGACCAAATCATTTATCTCTCCTCTCATAAATAATGTTTTCCTCCCATTGATGCTCAAAAAATATGATCGTATTTTTCAAAGTTGTACCGACTCAAAGGGCAGAATTTTGTAGGACAATATTGTCAGAAATAAACACTAGGATTATACAATTTCTCCTAATCAAGAAGGATTTGGAAGAGAGACTGATGATATATCTATGTATAACAAGTTCCAATTATTTCAGAGGAAATTTTAAAATGTTAAATAAAACAGAAATGAAAACAGGGTCTTTGTAATTGGCATTGGGGGTGTCTGGGGAGGGGAGCAACTAGATTGCAAAATGGAGCTACAGGATGAAGATCCTGGGAGAGCAAAAGCCACATGAACACTGCATAATGCAGCCTCCCTTCCTCGTGCAAGCCGGGGGCTGTCACTGTCAGGAGGGATGAACACTGATCAGCAAGTCAAAGTTTATTCAGAGAGAAATAAAGAGGATGTCTCTGGATGCAAGAAACGGCCATAACCAGAAATGCTCACAACTCAACTGATAAGGACATCAGGCAGGACTCACACTTGGAAATCTTGGGTTGAGAAAAAAACTCTCTCTTTCATATACAAATGAAGAAAAATTCAGAATAGAGCTTAGTGTGGTTTTGAAATGATGAAAGGGTCCTTATTGCTCTATCCCTATTACCCAGATTATTTATGGGCAAATAGTAAGAGTAGAATAAATAATGACTAAATAGGTTGATATTTAGTAGTGTCTTAGTGTATATATATATATACACTATTTTTTTTTTTTTGCAGTTTTTAGCCAGGGCTGAGTTAGAACCCCCCACCTCTGGCATATGGGGTTGGTGCCCCACTCCTTTGAGCCACAGGCGCTGTCCAGTGTCTTAGTATTTTCCTAACCCTATAACTTTAAGTTTATAGACTTTGTAATGACTTTAAGTTTACCAAATTGGTAATATTCAAGTTAGGGATAGGCATATATACTAGAGTTCAATAATCATATTTTTAAAGTAAAACAAGATTTTCTATGGTACAATGGGTAGTTTCAAGTATCCGAATATATCAGAATAGTCCCACATTAATCCAAAAGTGGTGGATGAATTATTTTGAAGAGGCAATGCCCTTTCACTGGTGGCAGGTCCCTGACACACCACAGTCATGCTGGAGATAGGCAAGTAACATGCTCATAAGGATTGAGCCTTCCTTATCCTTTCAGTAATAGAAACTTCACTGAACCAAGCCGGGGTCACTGTAGAAAGCTGTGTGTTTTCAATTGCCCTCCATATACCAGGACTGGAATTCTATATTCAGCTTTTGTGCTATGTATTGTGTGATACAACAGAACAACCCAGTCAAACCCCCAATTTACAGAAGTGCTTCTGAGGAGGGTAAGGCATGTTTGAAATCATATCAAAAGACTGATAAAGCACTTTAATTAAAAAGCCATAATCCTGAAGTATCCAATTGCTACCAGAAGTCACAATCCTTTCCGAGAATTCTAATTTGATTATAATCATCACGTTCACATAGCATTTGTATAGAATATTTTGTCATGGCTGTAATTTTAATGTCTAGCTGGGGACTCTCTAGAAGATTTGTCTTACCTAGTACTGTTAAGTGAAAAGCATACCAATTAATGCCCTTATATTGGCATGTACAGTTAAAAAAATAATTTTTGGAAAAATAAACTCATTTAAGGCATATACTAATCTAACAGATTTACCTATAATAACAAGATAAACCTAAAAGCTTCACTTGTACAATGAATAGTTGTGAAAACAAAACAAGCACAGCTACAACACCTATGATAATTTTTGTAAATAAATGAAAAATTACATTTTGGTAATAGAATACTGTCTTATTCTGTTAAAGAATGAAGACTACTAATACCTATGTGTAAGACTGCTTCTTATGGCAGTGGTTTTACATGAGTCTATGCTTGAAACCTTACAGCACGCTGGGAAAATACAGAATCTTAAAGCTGAGAGAACATGTCAGTTTCTTGCTATTCTCAGCTTCTTACCCAGAAGTCCACACACTTCTATTGGACCACAGATTACTCCATCCATAGCTTGTAATTAGTTTTCAAAATTTGGCACCCATGTGTGTGCGCCCATGTACATGTATGTTTTTCTAGGGAATTTTTTTTTTGTCAAATTCTCAAAGGAAGCCAGGCACAGTGGCTTGTGTTTGTAATCTCTGCCAAGCTGGGAGGATCTCTTGAGGGAGTTCAAGACCAGCCTGGGTAACATAGTGAGATCCTAACTCTATAAAAGATTAAACAATTAGCCAGGTGATGTGGCAAATGCCTATAGATGTAGTTACTCAGGAGGCTGACGCAGGAATTTATGGATTTTCTAGTCCAAATTTGTCATCACACAGATGAAGAAATGGAGTTTCATAATAGATTAGACTTGCTCAAGGTCAGTCAAGGCAGGACCATACTCGCATATTTTGAATCTTAGTCTAAAGCTCTCCACTATACTATGAAACTATTCAGTGGGCTCACAAGCCTCCATCAACATACAAATTCCCCCTTTCGGAATGCCTTACCTGGCACCTTCCATTTGCACAGATATCTGATCCCTGATATCCACAAGAAGTTCCATCCATCACTTTTTCTGATAAAAGAACAGGCTGTTCTTTTCCAACAGGAGAGCAAAACAAGGCACATGGTTTTTCTACATACAAAGTGGATAAAAAGAAATGAAAAAAAAATTACTTCATTCATACTTTTAAGCTTTATTTTTCAGAATGGTTATTGAGTAAAACTACGATTCAATGCTGAGTAATGTAATATTAGAGTTTTCCTGAGTGATAATGAGATGTCTGAAAAAAATTTACAGTAAAGTCTCTGTTATCCAGAACTCAAACAACTGTCACTCTCAAGCAACCAGCACATGACCCAGCCAAAAAAAAAGTCAAAGTTTAAACATTCTCTGTGCAGTCAGCCAAGCTTCATGTATCACTCCTGCTCTCCCAAGTGCTCTCTGTAACAGTTCTAAGTGTTAACACGTGCTACCTGAAGTTACAAAAATGGCAGTGAAGCAGAAATGCCTGTTGACTGCTTAAAAATTGTGCACTGTGTTTACAAAGCTGTTTTATAGTACAGTAAACTGTGTGACAGTAGTGACATTTGTCTTCATTTGTCTTAATTTGCTTTCAATTAGTGTATTCTAATATTAATATCAACTCAACACATAGTTTATGGTATAGGATGGGATAGCACGAGGTATAGAATTAGGCCTATTTTTTTTTTTTTTTTTTTTTGAGACGGAGCCTCAAGCTATCCCCCTGGGTAGAGTGCCATGGCATCATGCTCACAGCAACCTCCAACTCCTGGGCTCAAG